GTAATGGCGAAGTCTGGGATTTTAGTGTAACCATCACCCGAATAGTGAACACTGTACCCAAGTAGGTACTTTTCATCCTTCATTCCCCTCCCCCTTCCCACCTTTTGAAGTCTCCAATGCCTATTATTCCTTTTTATGTGTGTGTGTACCCATTGTTTAGCTCCCACTTATAAATGAGAACATGAGTTTTTTGACTTTCTGTTTTTGACTTATTTTACTTAAGATAATGGCCTCTAGTTCCACCCATGTTGCTGAAAAAAACATGATTTCATTCTTTTTATGGCTGAATAGTATTCCATGGTGTATGTATATATACATATACATCACTTTTTTTATCCAGTCATCCACTGATGACTGATGAACACAACGACTTTGCTATTGTGAATAGTGCTACAATAAACATATGAGTACAGGTGCCTTTTTGATAGAACGATTTCTTTTACTTTGGGTAGATACCAGTAGTGGGATTGCTGGATCAAGTGGTGGTTCTATTTTTAGTTCTTTGAGCTATATCCATACTGTTTTCCAAAAAGGTTTCACTAAATTACATTCTCATGAGCAGTGCACAAGTATTTCCTTTCTCCTTTTCTCTGCATCCTTGCTAACATTTGTTGTTTTTGGCTTTTAATAATAGCCATTCTGCGACCATCCAGAGTGTAAGATGGTATTTTACATCCAGGTGTAAGATGGTATTTTATTGTGGCTTTAATGTGCATTGCTCTGATGATTAGTGACCTTGAGCATTTTTTTTTATGTTTGTTGTCCACTTGTATGTCTTTTGTTGAAAAATTTCTGTTCATGTCCTTGGCCCCCTTTTTAATGAAGTTATTTGTTTTTGTCTTTTGAGTTCTTTGTAGATTCTGGATATTAGTCCATTGTTGGATGCTTAATTTGCAAGTACTTTCTCCCATTCTGTAAGTTGTCTGTTTACTCTATTGATTATTTCTTTTGCTGTGCAGAAGCTTTTTAGTTTAATGAAGTCCCATTTGTTATTTTTGTTTCTGTTGTATTTGCTTTTGAGGTGTTGGTCATGAATTCTTTCTCTAGGCCATTGTCCAGAAGAGTTTTTCCTCATTTTTTTCTAGGATATTCATTTAGCATCAGGTGTTCTACTTAGGTCTCCAGCCCATCTTAAGTTAATTTTTGTATGTGATGAGAGATATGAGTCCAGTTTCATTTTTCTGCATATGGCTATCCAATTTTCCCAGCACCACTTATTGAATAGGGTGTTCTTTCCCCAGTGTATATTTTTGTTGACTTTGTCAAAGATCAGTTGGTTGTAGGTATGTGGTTTTATTTCTGGGTTCTCTATGCTGTTCCATTGATCTATGTGTCTATTTTTATGCCCATACCATGCTGTTTTGGTTACTGTGGCCTTGTAATATAATTTAAAGTCAAGTAATATGATGCCACTAGCTTTTTTCATTTTTCTTAGGATTGCTTTGGCTATTTGAGTCTTTTTTGGTTCCATACGAATTTTAGGCTTTTCTAATTCTGTGGAAAATACACAAACAAATAAATGTGATTCACCACATAAACTATACAAAATAAAAATCATATGATCATCTCAATAGATGCAGAAATAACTATTCAATAAAATTCAGTGTCATTTTATGATTTAAAAAAAATCTTCAACACACTAGGCATAGAAGGAACATACCTCAAAATAATAAAAGCCCATAGCCATCATCATATTGAATGGGGAAAAGTGGAAAACATTCTCCCTATGAACTGCAGTAAGACCAGGATGCCAACTTTCACCACTTTTAATCAACTTAGAAAGGAAGTCCTAGCTAGAGCAATCAGGCAAGAGAAAGAAATAAAAGGTATCCAAATTGGAAAATAGGAATTTAAATTATTTCTGTGTGCTTGTGATGTGATCTTATGCTTAGAATATCCTAAAGACTCCTCCACAAGACTCCTAGATTTAATTCATGTCCTCAAGAAAGCTTCAAGATACAAATATCAGTAACATTTCCATACACCAATAACAAGCTGAGAACCAAATCAAGAATTCAAACCCATTTACAATAGCCACATACAAATAAAATATCTACAAATACATTTAACCAAGGAGGTGAAAGATCTCTACAAGGAGAACTACAAAATACTAATGAAAGAAATCTTTTTTTTTTTTTTTCTTTTTTGAGATGGAGTCTTGCTCTGTCACCCAGGCTGGAGTGCAGTGGCCGGATCTCAGCTCACTGCAAGCTCCGCCTCCCGGGTTTACGCCATTCTCCTGCCTCAGCCTCCCGAGTAGCTGGGACTACAGGCGCCCGCCACCTCGCCCGGCTAGTTTTTTTGTATTTTTTAGTAGAGACGGGGTTTCACCGTGTTAGCCGGGATCGTCTCTCGATCTCCTGGCCTCGTGATCCGCCCGTCTCGGCCTCCCAAAGTGCTGGGATTACAGGCTTGAGCCACCGCGCCCGGCCTGAAAGAAATCTTTAAAAAACAAATGGCAAAACATTTTATGCTCATAGATTGAAAGAATCAATATCATTAAAGTAACCATACTGCCCAAAGTGATTTACAGATTCAGTACAATACCTATCAAACTACCAATGTTATTTTTCACAGATCTATCTTTAAAATCATTATTTATTTCTTTATCTATCAATTGAGTGACTTATTTTACTGACCTTTTCATTCATTTCTAGAATTCTACTTTAATTCTGCTTCAAATTTACCTATTTTTAAGTTATTCTTTTTGTGTCTTAGTTTCTATTATTCTTTAATCTTTTATCTCTTTGATCAGTTTAATCTGCTTATTTTAGTATCTCTTTTAGATTGTTCTATTACTTATATTTCCAGAGGCAATATTTAGTTCATTTACTGATGTTCATTTCACTTGCTGATTTACCTTGTGCAAATTAATTATATTGATTTGCGTGATTTTTAATATTTGATTGTGATGTTATCTTCAACAGCACTTTGGGAGTCTTGCTGCTCTGAAAGTGTCCCTACAGAACTCATTACATCTGTCTGTTATTCTCTATGGTCTGCACTAGTACTAGACTAGTTTTTACGTTAGCTTTTTGTTTTGATATCCATATTCCATGGGTATTTGAAGCCATATTTCACAACTATGTGTGGTGCAGATCTAGGGTTCTGATTCTGCATTGGTGATTTATTTATTGACACAACCCCAGGTGGATTGCAAACTTCTTTGCTGTCTCCCAGGAAAGGCAGGCCAGGTTCTTCTATTCCTTATTCCAGAAATGAACAGATATCTTCATGGCTTCTATTATTGGGCAGGTAATTTATCTATAGTATGAGCTTGAGCAGATCTTCATGGCTTCTATTATTGGGCAGGTAATTTATCTATAGTATGAGCTTGAGCAGATCTTCATGGCTTCTATTATTTGGCAGGTAATTTATCTATAGTATGAGCTTGAGCTCTGATGCCTTAAATATCTTCCTAATGCCACTATCAGAGAATCCTAGTTCCTGGTTCCCAGGTTTTAAGCTCTATGTGATGTTACAGTAACCATGTAAGCATTTTCAGCTTTTGGTCCACTATCTACTCTAACTTTGTGCTACCTCTTCAGCACCAGGGAATTTTCTGTTCTTAATTTCTTTTTCAGCTATGGATGCAAATAAAATTTCTCATATTCTATCTGATATTTTTATAAGTTTGAAATAGGAAAAGCAATTGTTGATTTCACTCAATTTGCCATATTCATGATTCTGTAATTCTGAAACCAATGAGTATAGCATGAAATTTCCTTTATAACACTAAACTATTTACAAAACTCAATCTGAATTGTGAAAGTTGCGAGAAAGTATATCCACTTTCCTTAATTAAATTATTTACTGATACAACCTGGGGCAATGCATTCATTTCTGGATACCAAAGTTTGATAGGGAAATTGACAATATGGTCCACTTCTGGAAAACACTGAAGTAATGAAGAGTCTAGAAACTCTACCATGATGGGAATGCTTAAACAATGAACATTGAGAAACCTAAAAAACAGGAGACCCAGAGGGCACATGAGCACTGTTACCAAATATTTGAAAGACTTTCGTGTGGAAGGAGTATTAGTCTTTTCTCATGTAGTTCCAGAGAATAGACCCAGGAATATGCTACAGAAAGCTAGAAATTTTGTGAGTGATCTCTGACACTGATTCATCACATAACAACTTTGGACAAACTACCTCCCCATTATGGACCCCAGGATTCACATCTGTAAAGTGAGGAGGTTGAATCATACAACTGCCATGATCCTTTAGCTCTAACAGATTTTGGTTCATTTTTTAACAAAGTTAATGAGCACAATTTTTCCAACGATGAATCATTGGGCACAGTTGATGAATGACCTTGACTTCCCTTATTTCATTCCCACTCAAAATAATCTATTGCTTGTTTCATTCCACCATGACAGCAGACCTCAAGCCAAGTCTCCATAATCTTCTTTGATCCAGAAATTATAGGTTAAGAATGCCAGAAATGGAGCTGAGAATGGTGGCTCACGCCTGTAATCCCAGCACTTTGGGAGGCCTAGGCTGGGTGGATTGCCTGAGTCTGGGGGTTCAAGACCAGCCTTGGCAGCATAATGAGACCCAATCTCTACAAATAATACAAAAATTAGGCCAGGCATAATGGCATGTGCCTGTAATCCCAGCTACTCAGGAGGCTGAAGTGGGAAGATCACTTGAGCCCTGTATGTGGAGGCTGCAGTGAGCTGAGATTGCACCACTGCACTCCAGCCTGGATGACAGACAAAGTAAGACCTTGTCTCCAAAAAAAACCATTATATCAGGAAAAGATAATGGATTTTGATGTCATACAAACATACAGACCTGAGTATCAAGTCTAACTTTTACCTTACTAACTCTGTGTCTTTGAGCACCATTTAACTTATCTGAATATCAGTTTTCTTCTCTAAAATATGAAATAATATATATTTAATGGATTTAGTAATCATTAAAAATTTTAAAACCAATATAAAAGCGTCCAACACATGATAGGCATTTAACAAACATTAGTAAAATCCAAAATCAAAACCAAATGTTCTGTATTGACAATCGATAGAATCATGTCTATGACACCAGGACATATTCTAATCATTTGAACATGTTACATCATCATGTATTAACATTGCAAAATTTATTCTATTCCCACCACAATTTGTATGCATTCCAAACTCTAGTGATTAATTATTTTCATACAAGGTACAGTTATCTGAATTACTCCAATACCTTAAGTATCTCTCAAAAATTATCTTTCCCTTGAATTGTTAAACCATGGGGAAATCAAAGCCCAGTCTCATAAATATTTGATTTAACAACAAAAAAAAATGCTATCCCTCTTTGTAGCCAGTTTTTCTTCCAACTTATCTCAGGCCTCCTTCATTATCTGTTGGCATGGAGGGATTCAAGCCTCTTATATTTCTGCTATCACACCAAAGTTGTATTTTATAAGCTGACATCTACACATCTATCTCCTGACATCTGAGAGGATCTTAACTTGGTAAACAATACAACCGGATTCATTAAAAGTTTCTAACTCATAGCAACTCCATGAAAACTTCCTCTAGTTTTCTGATGAATTTTGCTTCCTGGGCTCCTTTGTCTTGAGTGTTTCAATCTGGTAAAGTTGTTTTAGTCTCTGGGAAAAAAAAAAAGAAAAGAAAAATTATCTACACTCTCCAGATATATAGGGGTGGCTATAATAGAATCATGATCAATGGACTGGAAATGTTGAAGACAATCCAATTGAGCTAATACAGTGAATGAAAACAAATTTGAACTTGGGTTCTGAAATTAGAGTCAGTTCAATTTGAGAGTCTACCACTCACTAGTTGCATGACTTTCAACAAGTTGAGAAAACACCTAAGCTTCAATTTCCACATTAGCAAAATGGATGGAAAACATTGTCTTCAAATATGCAGCAGGAAAAAATGCTAGACTACCTCCAGTAGCAGAAAATACATGAAAGTCTGCTTCAGAAGACATCAAGAACAACTTGGAGAAAATAAAAGTAGTAAAGCTGGAAGTCCCTTGATAGTGGGTGGAATGAATCCCGAGAAATGTTTTATTACATTTTTTAACATTATACTAAAATGGTCTGGAAAACAAAAAGCACATTACTATATGTGTTACTTTATTCTCATGCTGCTATGAAGAAATACCTGAGACACAGTAATTTATAAAGGAAAGGGGTTTGACTGACTCGCAATTCTGCAGAGCTGGGGAGGTCTTAGGAAACTTAAAATCATGGTGGAAGGTGAAGCAAACATGTCCTTCTTCACCTGGTGGCAGCAAAGAGAAGTGCAGAGTAAAGTTGGGGAAAGCCCTTTATAAAACCATCAGATCTCCTGAGAACTCCCTCATCATCATGAGAAGAGCATGGAGGTAACCACTCCTGTGATCCAATTACCTCCCCACCAGGTCCCTCCCACAACAGGTGGAAATTATGGAAACTACAATTCAAGATGAGATTTGAATGGGGACACAGCCTAGCCATATCACTATATTAAAATTCAGCCTATAATTTCACAAATAAGATATGTAATATAGACACCAGAATTGATCATATAAGCCCATGGTCAGAAGCAGTAGCCACATCAATACATAATGCTTCTTGAGCACTAATACTGTGCTAAGGATCATGCTATGTGTTTCATGTGCATATTTATGTGCATATCTCATTGATCTTTTTTATGTTGTGTGCATACATAGCTCACTTAACAACCCACAAGGAAAGTATTGTTATTTTGACCCGCATTTAACAAATGCTGCCTTAGCCTGGCTTCCATCTGAAAGCAGAACCTGAGCCAAGGGCTTGTGTGCAGTAATTTGAGAACCAATGGCAGGCAACAGAAGTGATGAATGGAGGAAAGAGAGAAAAAGCCAGTTCAAGAAGACATTATCCACTGGCCTCCATTGTACTGCTCATCCTCTCCCCTTTTTCTAAGTACTCCCCACTTCCATTTCCCTCTGATTGTGGAATCCTCCTTGGGACACTAACTGTCTTGTACATTCAGGTTACCTGTGTGTGAGTGTTGAGTAGGCTCCTGCAGGCACACTGGGACAGAAAGCAGCACACACTTAACTGAGGTGCCATCAAGGGTAAAACTGGTAGGAACTTGGGCAGAACAGTTTACACTAGTAGTGGCTAGAATAGAGAGGAGGCCAAGAGAATGGGAGGCAATGAGTTTACAAAAAGGATCCCACAGAGGTCAAACAACTAAGATTTATAGAGATTGTCTTGCCCAAAGTAACACAAGTTGAAAAATGATGGAGGCAATTCTCAAATCTGTCTCCCATTTTAAATACTCTTCTCTTTCCATTCCCCAAATATGAAAAAGGTAAAGATATAGACAGCTAATTTTCTAGATATAACATCCAGGAATAAAAATCCCTCCCTGGTGTTTCTCCTGCTTGCCTGTTCAGTCTCACCTACCACCACTATCTTCCTATGATCCAATTGTACTATAATACTTGCATGTCTTCAAAGTAATTAACTAGCTTGCCCAAGTGCACAAGCCGGTAACCCCAGCCTGGGTAACTCCAAAGCCTATGTTCTTAGCAGTACCCTACACTGTATTTCTACTGCTTTCATTAAAGAAATCTAAGATTGCATCAGTCAGCCCATGACTTTATGTGCTTGCTGGCTAGCATGAATCTAAAAATAAGCATTGCTCCAGCTTCCCAGTTATTGGGTATAAGTGCACTGACCTAGGAGCCAGGAGCCCTGGGTTCTAGTTTGCCTCTAACTCCCCCTGGGACTTGGACCTTCCTGCATTCCCTTGCTCTGGGCTTCAGTTTCCTAGTATTTTAAACTATTCAGTTGAAACAAATCTTCTCCAAATTCTCTTCTAGCAGTAATGGTTTCTGCACTGAAGGCTATTATAAAAAGAGATCACAATTCTTTCCATTTTCTCTTATCATTGTTTTCCTTAGGAATAATGGAGAAAAACTTCTGTCTGTGTTAAACAGGAAGACAGGATCAGATCAAGCTCCAAACTTTTGGTTTACCCTGGACAGCCTCTCTGTGAGTGTTGAAAGTGAAGACTGCTGGGATGAGGCCGGTAGAGACAGGTTACCAGATCATTCCAAACTTGAAATTCATAAACTTCTTTCCAAATATGGACAGGTGTCCTATGAAAACACATCCTCAGAATCTTCCTGATATGTCTTTGATAACTAGAGAAACAGCGGGGTCCTTTGTCTTGCACCAGTTAGATAAATGACACGGATACATGTGGAGTGGTTTAAAGGAGGGGAAAGTTTAATAGGCAAGAAAGAAGAAAGTATCCCCATATAGAGAGGGAGGCGGGCTCCGAACAGAGAAAAACCCCGTATGCAGCAGAAAAGTAGCCAGTTATACTGGGAGGCTGGAGGTGGTGTCTGATTTGCATAGGGCCTAGGGGATTGGTTTGACCAGGTGTGTCATTCACACAGCCCATGAAAAACCTGGCCCTCCCACCCTAGCGTTTTAATACAGAAATGCAGGTCACCATGACATCCTGCGCGTGTGGAGTCATCTGGAGGTGGCCATGACACCTGGCACATAAGGTGACAAAGAGAAGAGGGTGAGAATCACTATGTTGGATGGACCCAGTTTCTAATTGCTGGCATTCACATATCAAAGCTTGCCAGCCTGGCTTTTCAACACACCTTTCTATTAGAAAAGAAATGTTTCAGGAGCTGATTCTTTTCAAAGGAAAAGCCTTTCCGAGGACTCCTTACCCTATCTCCCTAACATAATTTCTTAATAACTCCTGTATTATTCCTCCCTCAAGAGAAGTAAACCTAACTGCTGTTAGGGGGTGTTGGATGATGATTATTTCTGACTACTTCCTGCTGAAAAGGGGTGTCATCTGGAGGGACAGCTGTTGGACCGTCTCCTGAGGTTGATGTAAGGGTTCTCGGAAGAATGGCGTGTCCACGTGTGGCTCTGCTCACAGCACTGTTTGGGATTTGATTGCTTCTAGGTGAAAAGAGATAAATTTTACAAGAAAGTTTAAAATATAGGGTCACAATATGAGCATTAAGACTACCACTGTTAATGGGGGTCCTACAGACCATAACTGACAGAAGAGTTTGATACCTGTTAGTTACACTAATGGATTGTAATACCTGTTGCCTTCCACTAGATATCGCTGTACATTACTAGAAACAATATAAAGTAACATTCCTTTTAGGATTAGTGACCTTGGATTTGGGTGGCTAGAGTAACTTTAGTGTTAGCCTCAGCTAGATTTTTCCTGAACCTTCTTTTCATAGCCAGGGTGTGACATATTACCAAACTCAATAAGAAGGTCTAGCAAACTCAGTGATAGTAAAACTCTCATGCTTCTTTTTTGTTGGTGGCTGTTAACCCTGCTCTAAGGATAATCATTAAGCAAAATATTACAATGATGGAAACTCTCTGTCCAATATTTCAGTTAGAATGTGCCACCATGTATAGCTCTACTACAAATAGTACAGAGACTATAGCAATTCCTGCAAGTGTGGTGTGGTGGATAATTTCCATCTAAAATTATACTTGCTAAGATATAGAATTTCCTTTTGGGGGATCCATGAAGTTTCTTCATTCTATTTCCCTCAACAAAGAAACCTCTGGGTTACGGGCACCCTACTCACTTTCATTGCCTGGCGGAATTTATAGGATAATTGCCCAGAACTAGCATACTGATCCAGATTTTTACATTACCATTCCTTTTTGTTTCTTCCAAACTGCAGAAGATCACCACTTGATTCACAAGAATAAGCAGGGTTAGTCTAAAATGTAGACAAAAAGCTTAAGAACAATCAATAAGACTAGGATTTAATGCATGATAAGCTTTCAAGCATAATTTCTCTCTCTAGTCCTCATTTTTGGTAAAAACAAATTATGATAGGACCATGTTATTTGTAGAATAAACTTAAGTCTTATACTTGGCCTGATTATTTTCATAAAGCACAACAAGAATAATTATTTCTACATAGGCCTTTTTGATTGCCTTTGATGGAACTCTGTTCCATAAGTAATCTCAGATAAGACCTGTTAAAGCTGAGCCCAGCCATGGGTTTATATCCTCAAATACCTGTAAGTTGGGTGATCCTTTTCTCTTGAGGTCCTAAGATAAACTTGGAGCTCCTGGACCTGTTAGAAAGTGACATTCTTTACTGACCACAGGTTAGGAACCCTTTGCAGGGACTGTGTAGATAAGATATGAGGCCAGTTCTCAAGCCCCAAGGGGCTTTTACTGCCTCTGCCTGTCAGGTTTTAATTCCTTAAAGGGAAACACACCCTTCCAGTCAAAGCCTTGGTAAAATAACCAGTTTTTCCAACTGTGTCCTCTTGAAAAAGAAAAATGGATTCTTATTGCACTGATGCAAACAACTATATTGTCATAGGTTAAGAGTACTTACAGATAGTTTCCAAATTCTAGAGGAACCAGGCAGAGAGAAAAAAAACATGCTCCAAATTTTGTTTGCAGGAGTATACCTTACCTAATTATTAAAGGCCATAAATAGTTCAAAATAAGTGTCCTCAACTTTGAAAAACAAAACAAGGATCAGCAATGTTTTAAGCAAAAGTCCAGAAAGTTGCTTTAACTTTCTTGTTTTGCGTGATATTCATGAACATGCCAGTTCTTTGTGAGTCCTGTACAGTTTTTCTCTATTCCAATGTCATAATCTTCAAAGCTATTTGACACCTGCATTTGAGAACACCTGTTAAAGTCCTTAATATAGCTTGATTATAAACCATCTTTTGAGAAGGAACAAACCAAGACAAAAATTGTCTGTGAATGACAAAATGTCCAGGGTAGTTACATTTAAAAACATGACTGACAAAGAAGTTTAGTTATCTCCATAGCTTACAGTAACTTTACCCTCAATTATGACTGATAGCATATATTCAGACATTAGAATTTTAGAAACCCCATACAATTTTATAAAATACATTAGTAGTATTCACCAAAATATAACTGAAAGAAGATTGGACATTATTTTGGCAATCTCATGTGATTAAAAAATGCTAAATAATTTGTTTCATCTCTTTTCTGAATGTTTCAAGGGCCCTCTGAACCATCCAGAAATTCAGACATCAGGAAAGATAATTTTGAAACTTGGAGTTTGATTTTGAGATGGCCGTTAAATGTTAGAGGTTTAAAACACTTGATGTTATGAAATAGAATTCCAAATTGGCACAAATTATTTATTTTGCCAAAATAATGATTCAAAAAAATAAAAAAACTTTTCATTAGCCTTTACTATTACATGAAAATCCTGTTCAAAGCCAAATTTTACCCTTGCATTAGTTTATTAATGTTAACCCCAATTTGTTTAAATAAAACCTTATAGACAATTCCATCTAATCTTAACCAATTTGACTGTAAGGCAAAATCTTTACAAGCCCTTTATAACCCCTTTGGCTAAAGGCAGATTACCATCATAGGAAAACCATTTTTGTGCTTTTATTTTAATGTTCAATTTATGAAAAGACCATATATACCCCTTTGAATTCAGTTAATGTTTATATATTTTTGTAAGATTAATTTTTACAATGTTTCCACAACTTACTTAAATGTTCAGCTTTATCTTATTAAGTTTAAGATAATCCCTTATCCCTAGGCAAAATTTACATTTCCATGTTTCTTATAATCTTTTACTAAAAAACGTGTTTTACTGGTTTTTATATGCCTTGCATGTAAAACTGTTTAATGATCTCAAATACATACTGCACTGTTAACTCTTAGCAACTTTTACTTTTGGTGAAAAACTCGGTTAGTAAGCAATTTTAATTACGTACCAGCTTAAAAATTAAAGTCATGTGAACTAAAAAATATTTGATTTAAGTGCTTATTTTTTTAAGCCAATTAATTTGAGCTCTTTCTATACACACTACACATAACACATATATGGCACATATATAGTGACACAAACAAACTGAAGATTCAGCATTTGTAAGATTTTTCATCTGTCACTTTTTTAATTGGATTGCTGGCTTCAGGATGGAGCTCTGGGAGGAGCAGGGGCAAGATAGCATGCAATTTTAGGGCCTAATAAGCAAGCACCACTGAAGGCAAAGACAGATCCCTAAAATTAAAGAACAGAGCCTTTGATTTCGAGAGGGAACTATCTGCTTTTATTCCTGGGCTTTCATGAGAAAAACAGAAGTTTTTTCACAAAACAGGGTCTGTGGCAGCTCCTCTGTTTTCCCATGGAGTCCCCTGCTACCAGAAGTTATCTTAGGCCCTCTTATGCATGCATTAAGAGTGACAAAACAAAAAATGGAGAAAAATAATTTAGTCAACTGAGACCAAAAAAAACCTTTTTCCAGAAAAACAAGATCCAAGAAGAGAAAAATGTAAAGGCCTTTTAAATATACCTATAACTTGAATATTCACTTTTAATTAAGCTGAGTGCTCTTTAAATCCCTTATTATTCGACTTTAGCCATGCCAAGCAGTTAATAATTTTCAGCTTGTGAACTTCATGAAAAGTAACCTCACAGGTGAAATCAACAAGCCTTAATTATTACTTAATCATGAGTGTACAATATATTTTCAAAGGGGGTGATAGGCAGCTTTTGAAACCATCATTGCAAAATTGTGACTGAGATAGTGAAAGACTTCCAACTCAACCAACTCCATCTTGTTTCCGGCCCCCAAGCTGTCCTTGCCTATCCCTGGATGTAGGCCAAACCAACTTTGGGAGGTGCCTGGTTTACAGTTTATAGTCTAAAACAAAGATGGTAACAGTCCTTTCTTAAGATATACTTCCCTCTTGCCTGGGGACTAGACTGAAAAACTAGCCACAAGATTAGAGACCATGACCTAGAGTCACGCAGCTGGAGGCTACAAGATTCTGACCCTCCCTTAACTGCTCTCAAGATTAGTGTTTAAGATATTTTGTAAACCCTGCCCTTGATGGATTAGCTGGCACCAAACAGATCAATAAATTGGCTTATCTGATTTTGTGGCCTTCATCCAGGAACTGACTTAGCACAAGAAGACAGCCACCATTGTAAAATCATGGCAACTAAAACAAAGTATTGCCATATAGTTACAGGTCATGCTCCCAAGGACATGAAACAAGATAGAGGCTTGTAGCCATGTTTGTTACTGACCATTTTGTTTGACTGGCTTGAACAGCAGGCTTATGGGGTCGTGGGCCTGCATTCTAATTTAAGGTACCCTGTCTTTTGACAGAACCATACAGAAAGACACACAAAGCACATCAGATTAGCTACAGCTTAAGACCAACCTCATGTATCCTTTTTCATTAATTAAAACTTTACAGAGAATACAAACAATAATCCTTATTATCCCTTTTACCAGTGTGCACAGTAAGAGAGAAGCCAAAAGCCCAACTGGTAAAAAAATTTTACCCTTTTGCCAGCATATCAGGCTTCTGGTTTCCCTTCCTCCTAGCTCAACTCTAAGCCATGCATTTTAAGGCTTGGAAAATTAACTTTTCCCAGGTTGAAAGAACATTATAAAAGAACCATTTTAAACTGTGAAAGAAGGAAAAACACCATAGACCTGAGTTAAATTGTGGAAAGTTTCTATATACTTATTGGGGTCTTCAGAAAATTGGCCTAAGTCTGCCTTTATTTGCTTAAGGTCCTGTAACGAGAAGGGAATTTGAACCCTCATGGCACCATTCCCATCAGGCATTTCCTGCAGAGGTCAGAGTGAAGAGGGGAGAGTGGGTAATACTGGAGATGGTGGAACTGGAGAAGCTGATGGTATGATTGGAGGGGTACTGGAACATTCAATAGCAGTCTCAGATTGCACCTCTGGAATCTACTTCAGCTCTACGGACTTGCCTGCCATGGCTACTAAAAGAACTGGGTTGATTGTACAGAACTTGTAAAGGTCTGGGTTATCTCACAGGGCAAAGAAAGTCTGTACATAGGGGACCTCAGTCCATTTGCCCTATCGTCTGCAGAAAAGATCTAACTGGTGGATAATATTAAAATCAAGAAGGCCATGCCCTTCTGCAATAGAATATGAGGTGCTTTTTCTCCAAAGACTCAGGGTCGAAAGAGTGCCAGTGCTTTAAAATACATTCCAGGGGAGTGTCTGCTGAAGACAATCTGTTACCCATCCAGAAAGAGAAGTGAGAGAAGGCATCCCTTTAGTCTCCTTCCCTTCCATATGTGACCCAAGGTGGAGAAGAAAACAGTGGGAGCATCCCCCCAACTATTTTCCCTCTCTGATTCCTGGGTCCTAGCACCCTGTTAAATGTGCTACCCATGGCTGTAGGTATGACCCTCCAAGCCATGACACCAGAGGGACTAGACTTTTGAGGCCTAGTCATGCTTACCCAAGTAGTCCTAGTCCTCTGCCTATTATTTCCCTTTGACCTCCTAGACTTATGTGACCTGTGTGCCTCCCCCCGCAAAGAAAAAACATGGATCTTGGGAAAGACTATATAAAAGGCAAGGCTCCCTCAATGGAGGAAATTTGCTAGATTGCCTGCTATTATGGCCCATGCTAAAGCATCTACCCTTAGAAAAATGGTTTCGGTTAACTTCCAGACTTAAAGTCCTCTTACTAATTAAGTACTGTCTTAATTGGAGACGAAATAGGTGCCTTAAAAGAACACAGGAATCAAATGGCTGTTTTCCTGCTGATGGGACAATATTAAGACTAAAATTTGGCTGTGGAAAACATTTAACTCCTAACTGTTGAAGGCAGAGCTCTCCCGTTCACAGAAGTAGCATAATGCCTAGTTTCCAGTAAAAAGACGCAACAAGGAAAAGTTGTGAAACTACAATTTACTGCAGAGAACCAGCCATGTGTCTTATGAAGAGGATTTCTATTTCCACTAGGTGGTACTGTTGGGTTGGAAATACCATGCGCTGGCCAGACAAAAGCCAAGGGGGGTGCGCAGCAGGGGAGGGGGAAAGAGAGAGAGAGAGAGAAATTTGGTGACAGGATAGCTGGAAGAGAGCCTTGAAATTAAAAGACAGATTTGAAGTTGATGTTCACCCCATACTCACCACTCCAAGTGAATGTTGTACTTTGGATTCCTGGCCAATGCACCAAAATGATATGGCTCCAATGAATGGAGAAACACCAGGGTCCTTTGTCTTGTGCCAGTTAGATAAACAACATGGACACAGGTGGAGTGGTTTTAAGAAGCAGAAAGTTTAATGGTCAAGAAACAAGAAGAAAGTCTCCCCCTGTACGGGGAGTTGGGGGGTGGGGCTCCAAGTGGAGAAACACCCTGTGTGCCGTGGAAAGTAGTCAGTTATATTGGGAGGAGGCAGTGTCTGATTTGCATAAGCCCAGGGGATTGGTTTGACCAGCTGTGTCATTCATGTAGCCTACAAAAAACCTGGACCTCCCACTCTAGCCTTTTTTTTTTTTTTTTTTTTGAAATGGGGTCTCTCTCTGTTGCCCAGGCTGGAGTGTGGTGGCACAATCTCGGCTCACTGCAAGCTCAGCCTCCTGGGTTCACACCATTCTCCTGCCTCAGTCTCCTGACTAGCTGGGACTACAGGCGCCCGCCACCATGCCCAGCTAATTTTTTTTTTTTCTGTATTTTTAGTAGAGACGGGGTTTCACCGTGTTAGCCAGGATAGTCTCAATCTCCTGACCTCGTGATCCGCCCGCCTCGACCTCCCAAAGTGCTGGAATTACAGGCGTGAGCCACCGCCCCTGGCCCCACTCTAGCCTTTTAATAGGCCAGTGCAGGTCGCCATGATGTCATGCACACATGGAGTCATCTGCAGGTGGCCATGACACTGCGGCCACACATGGTGTCAAAGAGAAGAGGGCGGGAATCACCATGTTGGATGAACCCAGTTTCTAATTGCTGGCATTTGCATATCAAAGCTTGCTGGCCTGGCTTTTCAAGCCACTTTTCTATTAGAAAAAACATGTTTCAGGAGCTGTCCTTACACTCTCTATCTGCCTATAATAATTTATTAATATTTCCTGTATTATTCCCGTTATAAGAGTGTGTTCCATAGACACATGAACTGTCAGGGCACAGAGAGACCAAAGAGGTCATCATGCCTCATTAACTCCCAGAGGGTGCATGACTCCCCAAAAGCCCACCATGAACCATTCGCTGAAGTTAGAACGCAGTTCCCTGATGCAGGCTGGTGCTCTTTCCATAGCATCACATCATCTCCTTGAGGAACAAGATTATTACAAAAAAGACACCAACTGAACTGGGAATTTAAGATCTGGGTTTGAGTACCGGTTCTCAAAAGTTCTGCTTTCCAATTACTTTTCCTTCATTAAGTGCTGAAAGTGAAGACTACATAAAAAAGTTGTGTGAAAGTGCCCCCAAATCTAACACATAGTGGGTGTTTAATAATAAATGCTTTTTGAATCTGAATCCCTCAGGGGAGTAAGATTTGGCTAGGGTAATCCATGTGAACCTATTATATAAAAGTGTAGTGTGATACAGAAATAGAAAGAATTTTTATATTTTTCAATAGTAAAACAAAGATTTTTTTAGATAGGATTGCAGTGGATGAGAGAAGTTATTACTTTCCATCTCATGGACAAGTTGTGGCAGTATTTATGTTCTTAAACTACTAATACCTACACTTCTGCATCCAAACTCTCAGCCCTGGGCTTAAGCATTCATCTTGACTTGAAAATAAATCCATTCTATCTGGACCAACAGGGAAGACACACTGTATAGCAAATATACTGAAATAAATAGCTTAAATGTTGGCTATGACTGGCTGAAAATAGACAACCGAGCCAGTCTATCTCCAGAAATAATTCAATATGCCCTTGAAATAAGAAAATTCTGCTTAAAATACCTAAATATTTTATAGAAACCAAACTAAAACACATTGATGCTATGATACAATCTTACTGCCTTGAATCATCTGTGAAAATACCTATTAACGTTCCATAAAGCATCGAGGTGGAAGAGACAGAAGAACTTACACTACTGGTGCCCAAATGCCAAGCACTCTACTAGATGTTTGACATATACTGCCTCTTTTATTTCCTCCCTTAATCCTGTTATTATCCCCATTTCAGAGAGGTTGGCAAATTTCCCCCTCATTCATCCAGTTTGTAAATAATGGAGCTAGAGTCAAATCCAGGTCTATTTTTCCACTGCATACAATCAACTCAATAGAAGACACACAATCTCACATACACCACAAGATACACCTTTCTAATGAGTTAGGCACAAAAGCCAAAGCAGAGATTCAAACACTCGGAAGACGCTTAGGGAATTTGAGAGTCAATTTTGGATCATTTGATTTTTGCTTCTTTCTCCACAGTAAAAAGATTATAACACCTTTTGATATGATTTAGCTCTGTGTCCCCGCTCAAATCTCCTCTCCAATTGTAATCCCTATGTGTGGAGGGAGGGACCTGGTGGGAGGTGATTGGATCATAGGGCGAATTTCTCCTTTGCTATTCTCATGATAATGAGTTCTCATAAGATGCGATCATTTGATAAGTGTCTGGAGCTTCCCCCTTCTCTCTCTCTCTCTCTCCCTCTTTATCCTGCCACCATGTAAGACATGCCTTGCTTCCCCTTCACCTTCCACCGTGATTGTAAGTTTCCTGAGACCTCCTAGCCTTGCAGAACTGTGAGTCAATTAAACTTCTTTTCTTTATCAATCACCCTATCTCAATCTTTATAGCAGTATGAGAATGAAGTAACACACCTTGATACATGAAGAATTTTACAAAATGTTTTTTATAAATAGCATAGCTAAGATTTAAATCCAAGTTTTCTGACTCCAGGTCTAGGCCTCTTCCCAACTAAAGGCTGACTAAAGGGACTCTAAACCAAACTTTGGATGTCTGAAGGAAGACAACGTAGTATTTTTGTTTATTTACTTATTTATTTTTGAGACAGAGTCTCACTCTGTCACCCAAACTGGAGTATAGTGGCACAATCTCTGCTCACTGCAACCTCTGCCTCCTGGATTCAAGCAATTCTCCTGCCTCAGCCTCTGGAGTAGCTGGGACTACAGGCACACACCACCACATCTAGCTAATTTTTGTATTTTTAGTAGAGATGGGGTTTCACCATGATGGCCAGGCTGGTCTTGAACTCCTGACCTCACGTGATCTGCCCACCTCAGCCTCCCAAAGTGCTGAGATTACAAGAATGAGCCACTGTGCCCTGCCTAACATAGTATTTCTGTAGCCTGTTTGGGCCATTACAACAAAATATCATAGAGTGGTTAGTTTATAAACAAAGGAAATGTATTTCTTATAGTTCTGGGGATTAGAAAGTCTCAGACCAAGTCACCAGCAATTTGGTGTCTGGTGACAGCCATTTCTTGTTTCATAGACAGCAATGCCTTCCCACTTTATTCTCATATGGTTGAAGGGCCTAGCTAGCTCTCTGTTGAATCTTTTATAAGGGTATTAATCCCAGTCATGAGGACTCCTCCCTCATGACTTAATTACCTCCCAAAGGCCTCCTAATACCATCACCTTGGGCGTTAGGATTTCAACATCTGAATTTTGATAGGACACAAACAATCAGACAATAGCATCTCTGAAAAAAGAAACCTCCTTATTTACTGAGTCAATTCCCACTGAATAAAACAATTCCAACAGTATCATCTCAGGAATGTAGGTATCATAGATTGATGTCTTAATGAGAAAATTAACAAGCAAGGAATAGTGATCAATCGTTTTCTAACTTCCCATCTATAAAATATATATTAGCTACTTGATAAAATCACCTAAGGCCGTAAAAAGGAGCAAAAAAGGAACCATATTTATTGAGTCACAAAAGACTTTTTTAAAATCTAGTAGTATCACTCTTGAGAATTGCTATAGGAAGAGGGGAAATACCTAAAGGAAAAGCTATATATACAAAGACATTCATTACAATGCCGTTTATACAGTGAAACGTTGAAAATAACCTACAAATCCAACAATAGGGGAATTGTTAAATGAACTGTGGTATATCAACCAGATGGTATATTATGTAACTTGTAAAATATATTTCTAAACACTAGATAAAGATAAAAAGTTCACAGTATACTAAATTTAAAAAGAAAAATGTCTGTACTATGCAAAAATACCATATGCATATAAGCAAAGTGTGGAAGGGAGCATTGAAATAACAACTATTCATTTGTAAGGGTGACGGAATTATAAGTGGGTTTTTCTTTTCATTTTTTAAATTTCCAGTACATTTTAAGTAGAGCTTGGCATTACCCTAAACTGACCGTCTTTTATCCAAACAACAGCAAAAAACAAGACATTTACACACTCTGGGGAATCAGTATTTTTTTAATCCATTGTGTGAAAGTTCTTGTAATTGATCTTGTCATTCAATTCAATGTCTGCCACATTTACAGATCTCTTTTGTTTCAAGGTAATGCAGATAAATGAGGCTCATGTTAGACTATTGACATTATCTTGGCACCTGTGCACATCAGCACTTTGGGTGTTTGATTAACACATAAGCTGGGCTTGAGGAAGTTAAGAACTTGGTGTTAAGAAGTCATCTCTCCTTTCTAATTTCCATGGCAGCATAGAAAGAGCACTGGGCTCAGAACTGAGAGACCTGGAATCTATTCAGTCCTGGTTCTATAGCACACTAGTTGTATGAATCACTTAGCACCTGTGAGTTTTGTTGCTTATCCCTGACAGAATACAGAAGGATCTCAGTCTCACTCACCTCACAGGGCTATGGTGAGGCATAAACTCACTGAGAGGCAAATATGTGCTATGCAGAGCTTTAGGCTGGGACAACCAAGACAGAAATAGCTTTTCAGGTGTTGCAAAAATAATATAAACTACCACTTACTCAATACTGTCTATGTGCCAGGCACTGTGATTAGTACTTTACATGCATAATTCACTTACTTTTAAAAGATGTGTATTAAGCATCCTATGTAACAAATGCTGGTGCATGCTTAGTACATAGATTATATCAGCAGAGGAAACAATTCCCTGCCCTTTTGGAGCCGACATTCTTCTGGAGCAAGACAATGAATAGCAAACATAATTATAGTGTGTAAGAAAATTGTGGGGAAAAAATAAAAGTAGAGTAAAGAAAGTTCTGAGGACAGGAATGGGACAGGAAAATTTTTAAATAGGGTGGTCTGGAGGAGCAAAGTCTTGGAGGAGAAAGGAATTGGTCATGCAGATATCTGGGGGAAGAACGCCTCAGGCAGAGGGAATGAGTCCAGGGCAAACAACTAAAGGTTGGAGTATTCTTGAAATTTTTGTCAAAAATTGATGATGTTTTTGTGTCTGGAACAGAGTGAAGAAGAGAGAGTAGGCCAGGTGCGGTGCCTCACACCTGTAATCCCAGCATTTTGGGAGGCCAAAGCGGGTGGATCATGAGGTCAGGAGATCAAGACCATCCTGGCTAACATGGTGAAACCCCGTCTCTACCAAAAATAAAAAAAAA